CCGCAGTACGCCGCCTAACCCGGCCTGCTTCACCGCTGTTAGGTGCCTACCCTTGTAAAGTCCTTTCTTCCTTCTTCAGCTTAGAATAGTCAATCGACGGCACCTCTACGCTGAACAAGCCTAGGGGCCAGCCCCTTACACTCTACAACCAAAAGGAAATGGACCAAACGATGCCATTGACGTGGCAGCAGGTTCAGATGATTCTCGGAAAAACCAACCCCATCTAGAAGACGAAAGTTATGCCTGAGCAGATCCGTGAGCTTGTGGAAATTTATGTGGCCGCCCGCGAAAGACATCTCGGCGACCCAACAGAGACAAAGGGCGACCACAGCCAGAGGCGGTTTCTCGAAAATGTTGACAAGTGGATTGCGATGACGAAGAATCGAGGTGCGTTTTCGGATGAGCTTACGTTCCCAGCCAAGACACGATGGGCTATCGCAAGCGATCCGCTCCATTCACGATGGAAAGAATCGACAAAGAGACAGTTGGTTGAGGAAAGCAGGGAGGAAGACCGGGAGTGGAAAGCGCAGAAGGAGACGGAGGTGAAGGAGAGGGAGCTCGAAGAGAAGAGACAAAGGCTAGAGAGAGAGCAGAGGGAGTGGAAGCAGAAGCAGAAGGAGTTCCAGGAGATAAAAGAACAACTGCAAAAGTCGCGGAGAGCGCAGGGGGAGTGGGAGGAAAAGGTAAAACAACGGATAGAGAGGGAAGAGAAACAGCAGAGAATAGAAAAAGTACGAGAAGAGAGACAGCGGAAGGAGCGGGAGCAGAAAGAGAAACAGCAGAAGATAGAGAAAGCACGGAAGGAGAGGGAGCAGAAAGCGAAATTAGATAAGTCAGAGAGAGCGCGGAAGAAGAGGGAGCAGAAGGAAAAGGATCGGGAGCAGATGCTACAGAAAGAAAGGATCGAGCAGGAAAGAGAACATAAGGAGAGAGAACAGAGGGAGACAGAGAAAAAGGAGAAAAGGCAGAAGGAGACGGAGCAGAACGAGAGTGAGCAAAATGAGAGGGAGCAGGAGGAGAGAGCGCGGAAGCAGAGAGAGTTGAACGAGGATATCGCAAAAGAGCAGACAGAAAGGGAGTGGAAGAAAAGGAAGAGAGACTCCAACGACCAGGCTCCCGGTGTTGCTATGCGACCAGAAAACCGCTCATCAAATGCTCCCGAGGACGCGGAAGGCGTTCGACGAAGCCGCCAACCACAGATACGCCCTCGCAACGCCAACCGAGAGCATAGAAGGCGGTGAGCAATTCGTCACAGAGCAATATGCCGCGAAAGGCGATACAGTGCATGCCAAGTGGGTGGATGTCATTCACTCGGCATGTAGGGCACTTGGAGCGCTGTTGGATTGGAAATGAATCACGGCACCTTAGAGAGGAACTACTCTGCGGTGAACCGATGGAACGGTAGTTTATAAGTATAAATATCTCGTGGAAAGCCCAAGTCAAGCAGTTTCTTTTCTCAAACAAACACACACAACACAAGCCAAGCATCACAGCATTCAAGCAGAAAACAGACGTTTGACAGCCAAGACTCTCGACAACATGGCAAACTCACCCTCTCTCGGAGCACCCTTCCTTCCCAAGCCTGCGCCCAAGCCTGGCCCGCCTCCCAAGCCGACTCCCCAGCCTCTGCCTCCGACCAAGTAAAATGCCGTCATGTTTGGCCTGGAAAATGGGTAATGAACGGAGTTTCGACATGGAGTAAGACTTGAGAAATAGACAATCTTCGGTAGTTTCATAGTATTCAATTGATTAGTTCAGTCATATTCAATATGTTTTCAGACCGTTATTGCATGGAATGCAGTTGCTTGCTTTTGATGCGTCGTATGGTGGGCAAGCCAGCGCCGGGAGCCGACGTGGTGGAGTTGCTGGCGATGCTGCTCCATGCGCGATGTTTGGCGCAACAGCTTCAAAGCAAACTCCCTGCGAACGGCTAGTTAAGCCGGAAATTGGGCTGCTCGTTGCCTGATGCCGCAGGCGGCAGGCAGTATTTAAGGGGTTTGTACGGTCGACTTGCCACGACCCAATCGAGAGAAGAGCAATGGTTCCGTAGATGGCTGACGGATGGCGCGTCCACCTCGGTAATGATATCTCATGGGGCCCTCGGGAGATTTCGGCCTGCTAAGTGTAGCATGGTTAGGGTTCCGTATCAGGTGGTGGCAATACCTCTGTTTTTTTGTCTCTCATTTTCGACCCTCAGTCTTCTTTTATCACATGCGCACGAACAGCTCAATATCTTCCATAATAAGCCTGCCACAGCTTCCTCTTGGTTCTGCTCAATCACGAGTTACCCCTTGCTAGGGTGCAGAATCTTCTCGTCATCTCGGTTTTACTCCCAGCTTTTCATCGCCACCATGGAACACTGCCAGACTTGTCGCGCAGCCGAACGTAGCTTTGACATAGAATAAGTACTTCGCGACCTTATTTGTTTTATGATACTGTCCAACCCAAGTCAGCAATCATTCCAGTACAGTCATTTCCCGCGATTGTTCCTCCTGTAGTCTTCCTCGCTGTTGTTGCGTACCTCCACTCCCTCCACGTAGGTCGAGGCGAGGGGTTTGGAAACGCCATCGCATGATGATATCTAATACTGCCGTCCCAGTGTAAGTGTCATGAGAAATTTCACAAATAAGCAAGCTGCAGGGTATCCCCGGGACGCCCAACCGCAGCCTGAAATTTCTAACGTATCCAGCGTGATGAAAGAACATGAAGATCACCTCTAACGACGATGGGCAGGGCAGAAGTAATACACTTTCGCACGGGTTCTCAGTGAATTTACTCTGCCAGCATCAACTTGCCGTGCCGAATTACGAGACAGACTGATAGAACTGCTCATTTGGGAGCAAAGTCATGGAGACTTCAGAAGCATGTTGGCATTAGCAGTATCCCAGAAGCAAGGCCCACATTGCAGTCAGAAGTGCTGCTGGTGATTGGGTGGTTGCATAAGTTGCACGCGATTGGGAAATTCACCTCAAAGCGCTTGGTGTGGCTGAATGCCTTGCGCCCCAGGCAACAGCCTACTTAAGGGGGTTGGCTGCCCAAATCCGCAACCCAATGTGAGAGGATGAGGTATCGCGCCGTAGGTTTCGGAGTGGTAGCGCGCCCACGAAGTACATAACCCGATCGGGCCCTCAGAATCTCCCCTCGCTAAGAGCGAGAAGGCCAGGGTTCAACTCAGGGTAGTGGCGACACCCCAATCTTTTTTTTCTGTCTATTGCTTACCTGATAGAAGCTTTGAATAAATAATCTTAGATCAGACTCCTTCCTCATCATGCTTCGTGTAAAATATAAAAGACTTTTGTTGGTATGATGATGGATCTCCCTGTATATTTAGAGGAGTTTTGCTCCCTAGGCGTTGTCAGTCAGCTATCCAGGCAGTTTCCACATGCACGCGTGTAATCCTTATGCTATACTCAAGCGACCATATTTCCTGTTCGTTTTCGTCTTCGCTATCATCGCTATCGTCGTCGTCTATCGTGTCGTCCCCTGCTGTCGTCCCCCGTCGTCGTCTTCATCAAAGTCACGAAGTACATAGGAAGACTGCGGAGAAGACCTCCGTCTCGATAAAACTCTATGTTTGCTATCGCGTTCTTTCAGACATACCAGTGATTCTTGCCCCATCGCCCAAGTATCATCGTCATAACTTTCGTCAGAGGTAGAACATTTGCCGAATACACATGACGGAAGGGCCCGAAAACATGTATCGGTCTCAGAGCTGGCCTAGAAGATACTTCTCGCAGTCGTCGGGTCCCTAGGCCGGCTGACCTTGCAGTTCACGGAGCTCGTTCATGGCCGGGAGTGCAGCGCACCAGACCATGCGCTTTGTCATCTCCTTCTCCTTCTTGTTCTCCTTCTTCATCTCCACGATTGTAGCCCTGGCCTCTTCCAAATCGTCCTTCACTTGCTGAAGTTCCTCGAAAAGCGAGAACGTGAGACTGTCATCATGCTGAAGAGGCCAGGGGCCAGAGGCAGCGGTGCGGTCATTAGGCTCGGGACTGCTGACGAAGAGGGAGTCTTCTGTGACTTCGGGGGTAGCTTGACGGGAGGGGAGGTCGGCTGGCGTTGATGGCGCGGTAGAAGCAGTGGCGTCTTCGGAGGTCTGGGACTCGAGAGACAGAGCGGGAGGGTAACGCATTTCATTGAACTTGTCCAGCAACTCGGCGAGGGTCTCGAAGAAGCTTGACTTGAGGGGAACCTTCTTTCCTCTGTCACCGTTGTCGAGGTAGCGCATGCGGGCATCCGCAAAGGCTACCATGACCAGCTGCATCTTCTCATCTGTGACTGAGTAGGCAGGCGAGTTCTTAGTGCGCAGATACTCCAAAGCTAAATCCCAGGCCTTGTTCGGTTGCCGCGCTGCCTTCAGATTCTTCTCGTGGGCCACATCAACGACGGCGAAGTACGCATTGAGAAGCTCGGTAGCGCGGCGCGCAATCGTCTTGGTGGCGCTGGCGGGATCGTTCTTGAAGGGACGGGTGAAGAGAGTCAGACTCGGCGTCTTCGGATTGACAATGACGAGATTCCATTGGTGCCGATGATGAACTCTATGAAGGGTATCTGGGCTAGCGCCTTCTGATCGGGGCAGATGGCGACTTGGGTCGCATCGCGAAGCGGGCCGTCTGACTTGGCCATGGCGAAGGTGGGAGAGTTCACGACGTCTGTGAATCCTCATCAGTGATGGCCTCACCAGTGCGCATGGTCTGGATGAGTGGAAAAGGATGACGAAAATGATTATAATCAACTTACCTGAGGATGTGACGCTCTTTGCGAGACACTGTGGCCGTCTATTTCGTCCCACTAAGCTCTCGCGTTGGAGATTTGAGGAGAAGTTTAGGGGAAGAAGTTTTCCATGTGAAATCCGAGTTGAGCGGGAAAGAGGTGATGGATGAGTGGGGCCATCACCCAGCTTCCCAGCGTGAGGCTCAGCACATGGGGTGAACAGAGAAACGTGAACATGGCCCGTATTCAGGCCAGTCAAGGTGGAGCACAGCGACCGAAGGTGAGAAAATATGGTACCCAGGACGGATTCCGTCCTCGGTACCTCGGACGGAAATCGCCGTAATAGACCGAGATGGCAAAGGCGCATGTGCCATTCATAATGCAGAAGGCAGAGAACGATAGCCGACGACGATAGCTGACGACGATAGACGATGAGGACGATAGACGACGACGGCGATAGTAAGAATAACAGTAATAGCGACTACAAACAGCAAAGACGATGGTGAGCACACAGGAAAGGTGATCGCTCTACCACTGGAGAATGAGGCGGTATCGTCTGGGAAACTGTCCATGTCAATCAATCCAAGCATGCTGATCTCATGGAACGAGCCTTGACAGATTAGATAAGCATCAGCGCGCCTTCCGTTGTTCAAGTTGCTCAGAATGCGCCAGGCGTAGGAGAGGTGAAGTTGAGTAAAGTGGGTCGCGAACAACACACAGCTGCCCGCCTGAGCCAATGAAAGCCACCGCGATCGTGATGTGCCCCGGGAGGTGGAGGCGAGATCGAGGACCCACACCACGACCGCTCGCTGCCGCGCAGCAGGCGTTATCTATCGAAATTGTACATCTCGCTTCCGTCGATGTTGGTGGTCGAACGGTTTACTGTTCGTCTTCCTTCGGAAGCTATCCGGCCTTCTCGGTGTGGGACTTTCAATCCTTCGAATTTGCCGTCTGCCCTTGGGTCTAATGCATCGGGTCGCTCGTTTTTGTTTTTTCATTTTTTTTCCGCGTGCTACTTGCTCCCGTTGATCTTTTTTCTACGTTTCTTCTTGACCGACATCCGAGGAAAGTCTTAAGTTGAACATTTTGATGCTGGCTCTGTGATCTACTGCTGCGGTTAGAGAATGGAGAATGGAGATAAAAATGCTACTCCGATCTGGAGATGTATATCACGGCTACTGTGTGTGTTTGAGATTTTGTAGACTTCAAGGGGTTAAATTCCTTCTTTAAGACTACGACTTTAGTAGCCTAACAGTGTCTGGAGAACCACATACTTCCTCCCGCGTACCTTTGACGACCAAAGAATTCCAGCAACAAGATTCTGGTGTCATCGACTATCGCCAAAGCCACACGATCTCTTGATGACAGTCGAAACACGTGCCTGGCGTTACAAATCTGGGGCAACTCTGGGCGCGAGATCCCGTAGTATTCAAACAACGCCCTCGCCCTCATCCTCGTCCTAGTCCTCGTTCTCGATCTTGTCCTCGATCTCCTCCTCGTAGTTGCCATACTCGTCGTCCTCATCGTCGAAGACATCGCCCTCATCCAAGTCGACTCCATCAGAACGAGCCAGCGCCAGTCTTGTCTCCTCAATCTCGAGCTCCTTCTGCTTAAGCTTCGCATCCTTATCGGCACCTTCCGCGCGGAGCTCCTCGACTTCCTCGCGGAGCTCCTTGACTTCCACGCGCAACTCCTTCTGCTCCTCAATGATGAGGCCGTACTCCTTGAAGGCAAGTCCTATCTCGTACTTGTTCTTTCCCAGCTCATATTCGGCCTGGCTGGCGCGTCGGCGAAGGTCGTCACTGAAAGCGTTCGAAGCCGCTCCTGCTGTGAAACCACTTTCATAGCCTTCCTTCTTGCCTCGGGAGTACTCATCAACAAGATTGCGCTTGTGCTGCTTGTTGATAAGGCGAAGGAAAGCCCGCAAGTGCTTCTTGAGATGCTGAGGGCTGACGGGGCCGTTGCTGTTGATGTAGTCGTCGCTGTTCATGTACTCATCGACCTCGCGCTCGCCCTTGGACTTTTTGCCGGTCTTCTGCTCTTGTTGAGGTCTCGCAGCACTCTCGACACTCTCGATTGCGATCTCCTAGTCGGCAATGGCGAGGTAGAGGCGGTGGGTTGCATTGGCCTCCTGGGTGTCCATGAGCGGCTGCGACAGAATCTTTTGAGCTGTCTCAGAGTCTTCACGGCCGAAGCGGTTCCAAGCAGCGTGGAACTTGGTGATGATGACGTAGCAGAGGGCAAGGTCAGACTCGTGGGCATCCTCGAAAGTCTTGTCAACCTTCAGCGCAGTGGTCTTAACCAACTGCCAGAACTCAGGAGACCGAGCATCAATTCCAGGGTTCTCGGAAGCCACTTGGTGGGCGGCCTCAAAGATCATGGCGATTCTGACGGCGACGTTCTTCTCCGACGCATCGTATGGGCGCTCGCGAGGGTCAAGGTGAAGGAGACGAAGAGCAGCGTGCTCGTGATCGGCAAACACATGTCCATCGTCGAAGGTGAAGCCAACCTGACGAAGAGCGGTATCGATCTCAGTGAGGGCGACGGCCGAAAGGCTGGGCTGGGGGCGTGGCTGGTCAGCATCGCTGAGCTGGCGTTTGTGGTGCGGCATCGCGACGGCTCTTGGCTTGCGATGAAACCGATTATCTGTATTTCATTAGCGCAAATATTTTCATCTGGCAGTCTTTGCGAACCTTTCAAGACGAGCAGAAGTCGGGATGGATTGGGAGCGAATCCTGGACGATCGTGATGTGTGTCGCGACGGTGTTGAAGGAGTGAGAGATGGGAGGTGCAAGGCGCCTGAGATGAGATGGGAAAAGAAGAGCCCCGACTGGGTCACGTGAGAGGTGAGAACGGAATTCTCGCTACACCGCTTTCGTCATTGTGTTGAATTCCCATGGTGATCACCCGGAACCTGATGAACAATGGGGGCGAGACTGAATGTCTTCTCGTTCACCACACGCAGGCCTCATGCAGGCCTCATGTGGGTCCATCGGCCACATGGGCGTTCACTTCATGAGGCCCGTGTGCCCACCACCAATGCCTCTGCCAATCTCATGGTGCTGCAAACACGACTTCAAAGATGTCAAGAGGGAGGAAGGTTGGTTTTCAAAAGTAAAACATTGCGCTCTTTGGTCTATCAAGTGTTCCTCGGCCGAAATGTGATTTCAGTCTCTACACGCATACCTCCATCCACAGCGAAATCAAATGTAAACACAAAACAAATGTTGATTGCCCATTGCAACCTCAATCAGGAAACCACACCGGCTTCTAGGTGACTTGTGACCATCGTTACAGGGGCACTTCAGTCGGTGGATTCATAGTGAACTGTGTATCCCCAGAGGTCCATACGAACCGGGCCATTGGCACGACCGACGCTTGGCAGCGCAAGTGCAGTGCAAATTCGCCGCACGTCGTTGTCTGCAACATATTGGCCCTCTCAAAGGTCCTTGGATACATGAACTGGAAACGTACGGCTCATGGCCCAAAATGCAGAGGCCGTGGTGGGGAAGCCACGGATTGGATCTCCAGTCTCGAGATTGCGCATCGGACGTAACTGAGCCAACGGGCCCCCTTCGAGAGATGCCTGATTCTCCCTTGCAAGTTCTGCGTTGAGGACACTGAAAAGTCAGTCTGATTTTATACCAGGCACTTTGTTGTTAGCAAAACTTGAAGAAATAGTTTGTCGAAGTCGTTTGATATGATCTTTAACAGAGCTGGTTCTGAGAACAAGGAACTTGAAGTTCGGGAGCGGTTGGAGAGTGCTTTTGATAGTGTCTTTAGCTCTCGTAATGGAGGATACGCAATCCAGCAACTCATCAGAGATGGATCTGGTGTCTGTGTCTGCAACCACAACGATGCGTGATGATTGACCGGCGGCTGCCATGAGTGATAGGAAGGTAACAAAATTGAAGTCAGGTAGGTGGCGCACGATGCAAGGTCTGGATGCTGTAGGGTGGTTGACGCTTGTCATGGCGAGTTTGTTGCTGGACAATGATGCGAGAAATAGGACTTCCGAAGCGATGAAAAGTGCCTGGATTTATACCCATCGATTAAGATTCAAAGCTGTTGGTCAATAACTAATGTTTGAGCACGTTGAATATCTGGATTTCTCTGGGATTCTCCATGAGTCTTCCCTCATATCATCTCCAGACTCATCGTATTCCAGTACCCTTACCGAAGTGACCAATTCATTCACACTTTAAGGTCTTGCATCAATCAGTATCGCGCTGGCAGATATATTGGTCCGTGGCGCTGTGTTGTGTCAATTTCGAACATTATGTTTTATTCGAATGGTTGATCGACCAGATTTCCGTCAACTACAATAAAGACTTGGTCCAAGAAAGCAACGTTTGATGCACAAAGACGAATACCTCTCCTGATGAACTCCGCGACCAGCTAAAATAATGTATTCATAACAGGACCCCGCCCCGATTAGGGAAAAGAGGTTCAACCATCGTTTCATCACCGGACAAGCAAATTCATGTGTTACGTAGAACACAAAGTTGAATGTTGTTAACATTGCTGCATCGCGGGCCGGAGGATCATGAAAACACATCTTTGAACTCCTCGGTGTCATTTCTTGCAGTGTAACGACAAATGTCGTATTTTGCTGGGAGAGCAACTGAGACCGGGTAGTTTGGAGTTGTGGCATTGGGTTTCACTGAACAGCAAGAGTCCTCCAGAAGGCGTTGGTGAGATGCGGTGCAGACCGCCTCCCCGCAGTTCTGACATGATGTTGACGGGATGTCGTCGAAAAAAGGCGAATACGTCCGGCGGTCATTTGCCGATTCCCGCTAGAGACTGCTGCCTGCCTAGGGCTCCACTCGCCGTTGAAGACCCCGGTCTTGGCGTGCGGCTGCCGCTCGCGTGCCAACCAGCTGACTGCCGACATGTTTTGCTTCCTGCGCAAACGCGTCGAAACTGAACTTCGCATGGACTTCACACCTTCATTCAGACAAAGTCGCCGCGACCACGCCTTGAGTCTCTTTGACTTCCTGCCTCTGATCACCTATCTCCACCATCCGAAGCGAGCAGTAAGCAACGGTGGGCCAACGAACATGGGTATATCGACCAATGCAACCCCATCTCCGCCCCTTGAAGGCTGATCGCGCCAGGAACGAAAATCACTGGACCCGAGCAATCTGCAAAACGGAGTCTGTCAACAGGGATCGCCCGCTCGCACCCGACCCGATCGAACGGTTGATTCGCCCACCACCGAGCCTCGCGAGGATTTAAACAAGACTCGAGTCCCGCGCAACTGCACCCGTCACCTCTCCGTTCGGTCATCCCTCTCGCGCCTGCCACTACTTCCGCCAAGATGGTCCGCTTGTCCCTCACTACCATCCTCGCCGCCGCCGGCATGGCCAAGGCCCTCGCCTCGGGCAACTGCACCGGCGTCAACGCCATCAGCACCAAGTGCGCCTCCAAGGAGACCGCGCACACCCGCGACTTCTTCTACGTCGGCGGCCGCTACATCGAGACTGCTACTGGTAACGTCACGGTCGATCAGCTCTACGTCGAGAAGCTCGTCCCGGTCTCCGCTGGTCGCGCGCGTCGTCGCGGTGTCGCCGCCGCCAAGCCCATGGTCTTCTTCCACGGCGGCGGTACTTCAGGTGTCACCTGGCTCAACACCCCCGACAACCGTCCCGGCTGGGCCTCTTACTTCTTGCAGCAGGGTCACACCGTTTATCTCGTCGACGTTGCTGCGGTTGGCCGCTCTTCTGAAAACAACCTGGAGAACTTCACGATGATCGCGGGCACCGCGGCCGAAGGCGTTCAGAGAGGTTTCACGGCCCCGGAAGTTTACAACACCTACCCGCAGGCTTACCTGCATACTCAGTGGCCTGGTACGGGGCTCAAGGGCGATCCGACATTTGAGCAGTTCGCCAAGACCATCATTCCTCTGACGAGAAGCTGGGAGCCCCAGGAGTATGCCCTTCGCGCCTCCGGATGCGAGCTGCTGTCGCTGTTGGGTGAGAAGGCGTACCTCGTGTCCCACTCCATCGGAGCCCGCGCGCCCATTCTTCTTTCCAACGATTGCCCGCAGTACATCGCCGCCAACATCAACCTCGAGGGCACCACGATCCCGTTCTGGTCCTACAACATCACCTTGGGCGGCACGCCCACCAACCCATGGGGCTTGACCAACACCCCGATCGACTACGACCCTCCCGTTGCCAGCGCCGATGAACTCGAGACCGTCGTCGTTGGCAACGAGACCCTGGCCCTGAGGAGCTGCCACATGCAGAAGGAGCCCGCGCGGAAGTTACCCAAGATCGCCAGCGTGCCGTACTTGATGGTCACCGGCGAGGCTAGTGTTCACATCACGTACGACCACTGCCTGGTTAACTATCTGAAGCAGGTTGGCGGCAGTCCAGAGTGGATCAAGCTTGGCGAGATTGGAATCAAGGGCAATGGGCACTTCATGCATATTGAGAAGAACAGCTTGGAGATTGCCGAGGTTGTGAATGATTGGATCTTGGAGAAGGAGAGCCAGTAAAAAGTAATAATAATACATCTCGATCCATTGTTCAGCGACAGATTTGTTTACCAACCCGATTGTCTTTTGGCAGAAATTCCCCTGGTTTCGTAGCCTGACTACACCACAAAAGAGGCTTCCAAAGTGACGAATGGTTTACACGGGAGTATATTTGTTTCGGATCAATCGTGTTGTCTGCAGTTTCGGGCTCGTAACTCGGAAGTCCCGGCTTGTTCTGCTGAGGGCTGCTTCCTTGAAGCGGATTTGAAGTGCGATGGTACTGCTCATGCGCAAGTCCCAGAATATCCCCCGTGAGGACAAAGAATATGCGAGAAAAGGCGATAACAATGAAGAAAACCGATCTCTAAGGAATCTGTGCATCGGAAATTTGCGCTTGCAGCGTAACTTGGATGCTTCCTTAATTGCGTTTGTCGGTGTTCCTATTGCCGCGATCTGGAGTAGGGGGCAAACTTTGGCACTCGCCGATGCATTGTAGTATCCCCGCGAATAAAAGGGGAATTCCGATGGCCACAAAGCCAAGGAACGCTGAAATTCTCATCGATGTCATCTCATGACAATTAGTTGACCAAATCAGAGGTTGATCACGCTAGCCTGCAAGTCTCATAGTCCCGATTGACTTAGTCCACATGCAATTGCTGTCTGGTGGGAGACTTCACAATCTACTGTCTGTCACGGCCCTTTTACGTGTAACATTGGCTTACCGAAACGCCTTGCTTGCCTTCCGCGGCTGCCCTTTGACATGTCGCTTCCCAGACCTATATAAACCGATATCTACAGGCATAGAACGACGAATGAAATCATTTGAATGGGAGTGTTTGTTCATTATCTCTGGGATGAAAGCTCATACTATGACTTGTACCTTGCGCGCAAAATCCGAAGTGCCTCCGACTGGTTTCGTGCCTCCGGCGCAAAGCCCTCGCTCCGTATTGTCTCCGAGTGTTGACTGAATAGCATCTGGCGGGTGAAGGACACCAGAGACTCATAAGTATCAACTTGTTTTGAGGGACGTCATTTGTTTGGATCCATCGTGGTGAGAAACACAGTCATCCATCCCTCTTTCATTCAGTATGCATCCTCATGTGGGTCAAGCGTCCGCATCATGCTGCTACGTACGCAAAAGAGCACACATTGGCTGAACAACTCGCTTCCACCAGGAAGCAAGACCCGTTTTGATTCCTGTATTCTAGCACGAGACCCAATCTGCGACGCGATTGCCTTTCGACGATTGTAAACTACTCGCCAGACCAATGCAAGAGAAAGTTTTGCTCTGCGCTAACTGTCCTGTTTAACAGCTTATATAAAGGCCTTGGGCGCGGCGACGAAACCAACGCACTTCGAAACACAGGAATAGTCATGCATGAGAAACCGACTTCATCCTGCTTCGCGTCCTCAGCATAGTCTGCCCGGAAGACCATACCTCGACCACATATCCATGGAGTGTCAGAATCATCAGCGGTTCTATCCTCATATTATCCTGAACGAATAGCACAGTAATTACTGATGATGAAGTCCAAAGGTAAAATGCTTTGAATTTAGTGGATGTTCTGCTGGTACGTGGGGCAATACATTGCGCAGCTTGCCGGCAATGTAACAGCGCACACTCATGTGGAGAATACTGATTTGGCCTCCTCGGTATCCTGACACGACCTCAATGTAGTTTATAATCTACGTCGCCAATCCGCCATGACATTCTCCTCAAAGAATAGATCGTGTCCTATGTGTCTACATCATTCTTTGGGCCGTTCTTAGACGAAAGCTCCCAAACCCCTGTACAAGATTCAGCTGACCAAACACACTCGTCAGACCTTGGTTGTCAATATTTGCTCGAATAACATGCAGCCGATGACGGATAATGTAGACGACGGTTAGCGGAGGTGGCGGTGACTCTGGAGCTACTACCCCACCGTCCCAGCCGCTACCCGCATCCCTCCGAGGCGTAGGTCTCATTGTATGAGCCACATCGTCCCTCAGGATTGAGCAATTGGTGGAGGGCGCCTATTGTGTCTCTGTTCTGGGCTCTCAAGACTGTCAGTCGCGCCCAATTTGTACCGACAAGTAACTCATCGTCTCCGAGGTTCAAGCATTCCACAGTACTTATTTATCAAAATACCTTCTCTCTCCCTGATAACAACTGCTCTTCAACAAAATCAAACAACCACGGCATGCCTAGCTATCATTGGTAATGATTAAGACAACCAAAACCCTCGCAAGCAGCATCAACCCATTTCATGTCAATACATCTTTCGAGGTGACTAAAAAGAGACCGAATGAGTTTTGGTACATCTTGAATAATCTACGGGCAACGGAGGGTAGAGACAGTGGTGGTTATGGAGGGAGGATATCATATGTTGGAAGGTCGGATCACAAGCACGTATCTTGATAGCTAAATTATATACAAGCTCACGAAGGTTATGAAGAAAGACGAACTATTATCTCTTGCTAAGTCAACCCGATAGCTGTGGGGGGGCTTCTATAAGTCCTGATCTCTTCTAATGCGCTGCAGAAAGCGGAAGGCAGAACAAAATTGGCGATTGAAGTGGTGAACACTAGCCCTCGGCGTCGGACAGTGATAACAAAGTCAAATGATGATCATCGCGTCAAATGCGATACAAGTGGAGTTTATGGTTCATAACACAAAAGAAATCTCGATTCAAGTTCATCGCGCCTGGGATATCACCGCTAAATCAGAAGATATGATACAAGACTTCGTCTTCAATTTTCACCAAACCACCTCAATGCCCTTTTCCTCATGCCTGCGCCAGCGATGTCTGCGACCACACAGGTAGTAGCACAAACAGCAAGCTGCACAGACTGGCGAAGACAGCACCACCAACCATGGCCTGTGTGACAATCTTGTGTTGCAGCCTCCTGAGGTGGACGTCCTTGACACGAATCTTGCGGTCGAAAATCATCATCCGAGAAACAAACTTCATCAAGCCAGACTTCTGAGAAAGGAGGGATGCGCTGTCGTCAAATCTTTCCCATGGCAGTGGTTGACGTCGAGTGAAGAGCAGGAGAAAGAAGCAGCTACCCCTGAGACCGGAAAGAATGAGAGACATGCCGACGAACCACATAGGCCAGGGGGCAAAGGCGTTGTAACGGCTGTGTGATCCCATGAACGGTACGAAAGCTCGGAGGAGGACACAGAGGAAGCCAGCGACGGTCAGAACAATGCCCATGCTCGTCGCCATGCACAGTGTCTCAAAGGTGCCGTTAGAAACACCGAGTCTAACGAAGTTGCGGTGCGAGCAGTTCTTGAGGAGACCGTACACGTGCTGAGCGATAGGGCGGAGATGCGAAGGGTCGGAAGAATGTTGGAGGTCGAGAAGAGCCTGGTCGCGAAGGGCGGGCGGGATGTTGAGCTCTTTCTCGGAGCCAGGCAGGAGGAAGGTCTTGACGACGGCGTTAAGCTCGACTCGGTAGGCGGAGTTGGGTGCGATGCGGGCAGGGACGACGTTGGCCACGTTGTTCGAGCAGATCGGCTTAGCGCAGGCGTTGGCCCATGACTTGATGCGATCGCGGCCGTTGGGTCCGATCTTGCTGTTTGGCCTGCATGCGGCTTCAGGGGCAATGAGCTGGACGATGTTGGTCATAGTCTCATTGGCTGGAAGGCGTTAGTTGGGATGCAAGTTAGATGGTGTAGCATGACTGACCTGCTTCAGGATCACACTCGAACTCTGACATCTTCAGTGATGGGAGTTTGTGCTCGATAGAGTCCATCGCACTGTCGATGGCACTATCCCTGGATGATGAGGCATCACTCTCCTTCTCGGCCATAGGAAAGTTGTTGAGGCTTCCTGTCTTGGCGTAGGCGGACTCATAGTTGCGGAACCTGGGAGAATGTTAGACTTGGTGCAAAGATCAAACGAACACGAGAATGAACATACCAGACATAGAACTCCAGGTTTTCCGGGGAAAACTCAATGTACTTGAGGTACATGTAAAAGTCATACAAAGACATCGGCGAGCCTAGTTGGAGAAGTTCAGCAGGTATTCTTGGTTGAATCCTCGGCGACGACATTTGCTTTCGGGGTGCGTTGCGTGGAGGAGATGGGATGCTCACAGGTCTCGTTGGCCAAAACCTTCTCCAAACTCAAGCGGGCCGGGATGGGACTCTTGTCTCGCCCGTCCCTGCTCAAGGGTCTCCTTCCAGTCCGAATGGCCGTGGCATACTCGCGAAAGTCTCTGTATTCGGGCTTCTTGTACCAGACCATCCAGTCCGGGAAGCTGAACCTTGATTTCTTCTCCTCGATCCTGGCGGATGTCGTCGCGGGCGCCGTTGTGGCCGTCGTCGTAGTCTGAACCTCCTCCTTCTCCATCTTGGGTTGAACGTCCTGCATCGTGTGATTTGTGTTATCCAATGTCGTGTAACCGTCGTTGAATGTGTATGGTACAATCCGGATGAAGGGGCAGAAACAAAAGGCCGGTTTGGAGACGCATCCGGGAGATGCTGGAGTGATATACGAATCCTGTCTCCCGTTAGTGTCATTTCATGTGCTGCGGCGCCCATGACCCCGTCATATCAGTCCGCAGACAAGGACTAGGCCTCGACGAGGCCGAGTGGGTGCCGCTGCCGCTGCAGACAAACCGCGCACAACCGCACGGGCCAAAGCAGCGGCCACCAGACGAACAAACGAACTCGAAGGGGTATGGGGCTGTTGCGATGAATCGGTCAGTGGCAGCTCCTGGCCAGTCGGCACCCTTCCCCCCTCTCTGTATCGGCCAAGGGCTCTCCCTCTCTACTGCCACAGTCCCTGACCAATGGCGGTGTTCGCGGGGGAAAAGCCACGTCTGATGGGAGGCGTACGCCAGTGTGCCATTTTGGGCGGGAAAGAGGGAACGAAACTCGAATTTCGTAGCTCGATGTTGGAGACTGGAGACTGGAGTTTGGAGCCGGCGAGTACTTCGGACGACCGGCGAGCCAGCCGAATGTAGAGTGGACGAGTCGAACGAGTCAAAGCGGCGGCGGTAGTGCTCGAGGTTTAGCCCATGTTGGAGGG